ATCTGTATAACAGTTTTGGGCAACTTTCACAATGTTGGTTCTTCCTAACCAAGAACAAGTAATATTCCACTTTCTAATATCCTCTTCAATCTGCTTTTTTTTTTTGGCATAGCATAATTTTCAGCATATAGTTCTTTACTTTCTTAGTTAGGTTGGTTCCTAAATATTTCAATTTTTTAGATGCTATTGCGAAAGGAAAAATTTCCATAATTTCTCTCTCAGTGAGTTTTTTGTTTGTTTACAGGAATGCTATTGATTTTTGAGCATTGACTTTGTATCCAGCTACACTGCTAAATTTGTTTATTACCTCTAACAGTCTTTCACTGCAGTGTTTTGGGTCTTCTACATTGAGTATCATGTCATTTGCAAATAGTGGTTGTTTAACTTCTTCCTTTCTTATCTTAATTCCTTTTCATTTCTCTCTCTTATCTAATTGCCATTACTAGTATTTCCAGAACTATATTTAATAGGACTGGTGATAGTGGACATCCTTGTCTTGTTCCTGATTTTAGAGTAAAAGCTTTCAGTTTTTGTCCATTTGGTATAATGTTGGCTGTTAGTTTCCCATAAAGGGCCTTTATGAGATTGAGGTAGACACCATGTATTCCCAGTTTCTGAGGGGTTTTTACTATGAACATGTGTTTGACTTTATCAAAAGCTTTTTCTGCATCTATTGAGATGACAATATGGTTTTTGATTTTGGCTCTGTTAAATTGGTGTATTACATTTAATTATTTGCATATGTTAAACCATCCCTGCATTCCTGGAATGAATCCCACTTTGTTGTGATGTATAATCTTCTTGATGACTTGCTGCATTCTATTTGCCAGTATTTTATTGAGAATCTTTGCATCAGTGTTCATTAGTGAGATTGGCCTATAGTTCTCCTTTTTGACTAGGTCTTTCTCTGGTTTTGGTATCAGAATAATACTTGCCTCCAGGAATGATTTAGGGAATATTGTTTCCTTTCCAATTTAGTTGAAGAGTTTAATGAGTATTGGCATCAAATCTCTAAATTTCTTGTAGAATTCAGCCGTGAATCCATCAGTACCTGGGTTTTTCTAGTTGGTAAGTTTTTAATTATATTTTTAATTTCAATACCTGATATTGGGTTATTCACAATTGCTATATCTTCTTGGCTGAACTTTGGTAGTTCATTTGTTTCTATAAATGTGTGCAGTTCCTCTCTGTTTTCTACTCTATGTGAGTGTAGAGATTTTCAAAGTACGTATTCATGGTCTTTTGAATTTCCATAGGATCTCTAGTAATTTCCCCCTTTTCAGTCCTTATTGTGTGAATTTGATTTTTTTCCTTTCCTTTCTTGATAAGGTTAGCTAAAAATTTATCAGTTTTGTTTATGCTCTCAAAAAACAAGCTTTTTGATTCATTAATTCTTTGTATTATTTTTTAGTTTCAATTGCATTGATTTCTGTTCTAATCTTTCAGTTTCCTCTCTTCTGTGAGCTTTGGGTTTAACTTGCTCTTCTTTTTCTAGAAGCTTGAGATGATGCATTTCATTGTTTATTTGTCTCATTCTGTTTTCATGATTTGACAATTTATTGCCATCTATTTCATAAGACCACTTTCAATGCATCCCACAGATTATAGTATGTTGTTTCTGCATTTTCATTGAATTGTAGGTATTGCTTTATTTCTGCTTTAATTTCATCTGTAGCCCAGTAATTGTTCGGAAGGTTGTTATCTAAGTTTCATGTTTTTATGCAGATTTTGAATTTTTTGTCATTAATTTCCAATTTCAGTGCACTATGGTTAAATATTACACATAATATAATTTCAGTACCTTTGCAGTTACTTAAGAATGTTTGATGGGATAATATATGGTCTGTTTTGGAGAATGTGCCATCTGCAGCTGAGAAGAATATGTATTCTGATGTAGTTGGGTGGTGCACTCTGTAAACATCTACTAAGTCCAATTGTTCACAGTTATGATTCAGTTATATTATTTCTTTGCTGACTTTTTGTCTAGTTAATTATCTGTTTATGACAATAGATATGAAGATCCCCTGTTATAATCGTGTTCCTGTGTATTTGGTTTTTCATATCCATTAGTATTTGTCTTATATAGTTGGGTGCTTCTGCGTTTGGTGCAAATGTATTTATAATTGTTAGTTCTTCCTCTTGAAGTTTTTTGCTAACGAGTATGCATGCAGTGACCTTCTTTACCTCTCTTAATCATTTTAGGTTTGAAGTTTACATTGTCTGCTAATAGAATAGTTGCCCCTCCTTTGCTCTGGGTTCCTGTTGCATGGAATATTGTTTTCCATCCTTTGACTATTAATCTATGAGTTTCCTTTGGGTCAGGTGTGTTTCTTGTATTGTGGGATCATGTTTCTTGATCCATTCTGTCTACCTATTTCTTTTGATAGGTGAATTGAGACCATTTATATTTATGGATGTAACTGATATGTACTGGCTCGACTTTGCCATGTTATGTTCCAGTTGTTTGTTTTCTGCTTTTCCCCCTTTTTTAATTGCTTGTTCTTCCTGGTGATTTCTTTCTGTTGTTATTCAGGAGATTGTTCTACTTATTTGGGAAGAGTTGAAGGAGACTGAAAAACTTAAACATGACAAAGAAAGGTATCAATGTAATTTACAACATACTATAATTTACCACATTCTGCCTTCTGACTACCACCATTCAAAGTATCTGTTTTCTACATGCAAAATACATTCCTTCTCTTCACAGCTTCCAACATTTTAGACTGTTGTTGCTCTTAGTCTAGACTTTCACACTACAACCCTGTGAAGTTCTTTCCTTTGTTCACATATGCCTGTGCTTTGGAGTTTCAGTTCCGAATGCTCAGTGGAGTCAGATCTACAATGTGCTTGACTTTATAAGATGTTTTCCTGCAGTCACATGTGTTTCTTTGAGCAGGTGCACTGTATGTTGTTGCCCTTTTAATAATGTAGTGTGTGTTGGTGATCATTGTCTAGTTCCAACGTTCATTGTGGAGCAAATGTTGTTACATGAACATATTCTAGAATGCATTCTGCTATTTCGTCTGTGGTTTCCATATATTATCCATATACCTTAAATATACATGTTTAATGAAAAATCAGCAAAGACAAATTGGTTCTTTAGATGGAAAATGCTCATGTGTGTAATATCCCTTCATTCACCACTGGGTAGGCAAATGTAGTGTGTTTGGAAAGACACAAAAAATGTAAAGTATTTCTTGTAAAAATGATGAATGCTACTTATGAAGGCTTCTGAAGAATTAACCTTTAAAAACAGTATGTCAGACTGGGATTACAGCACATCTGTGCTGTGTCTGCCCAGTAAGTATGAAGCCCTGGATACCATTCCTCGTGAAAAAAAAAAAAAAAAGAAAAAAAAAAAAAAAGAAAGAAAGAAAAGGTAAAAAAGAAAACAGTAGGATTATCTCCCCTGATGAACATGCTTTCTATTATTATTTTTTAAATGGTGGGGACCCTTCTGTAGTTTCACTCTCCATGACTTCAGTTTCCTCTGGTCAACCATACTCCAGAAATATTAAATACAACTTTAGAAATAATAAAATTCCTAAGTTTTAAGCTGCATTGCATTCTAGGCAGTGTGGTGAAGTCTCCCACAGCCTTGCTGTGCTGTGTCTCTCCCAGGATCGAACCAGCCCCCTTTCCTGAGCAGCCACAGGGTGGCTGCTGCCCGCTGGTCATGCAGGAGCTTTGTCCGTTATCATACACCTGTGCTACCACCATGTCACAGTCAAGCAACCTTCATGCTAATTACTTGTGGCACCAAATCACAAGCGCAGTGATGTCGGTGTCTCAGAAGAACCATGAGATCCTTTTTTAAAGAAAAGTTCAGGTCAGTAAGATATTGTGAGGAAAGAGAAATTATTCGCATAACTTTTACTGCATTGTTGTAACTATTTCTATACTGATACTATATTGTAACTGATACTATATTGTTGTAACTGTTTCATTTTAAGTTTTATTGCCACTAACTGCCTGGATGTCTCTTTGTAAATTAAAGTTTGTCATAGTGTGTATACAAAGAAAAACAGTAGCATACACAGGATTTGTTACTATCATGGTTTCAGGATGATACTGGGGGTCTTGGAAAATATCTCCCACACGCAGCAAGAAATTACTGTAGAACATTTCTTTTAATTATAAAAAATTTAATAGTGGATCCTTTTAAAGAACATTCCATGAGCTGCCCTATTTATAAATAAGCCTATAACTAGTAACACCACCATGAAACATAGACTCTGTTGTAACAAACTGAAAAGGCAATTGTGAAAGCAAATAACATAAAGTTCAACAGTACTAAAACTAAATTACCATCCAATTTAAAGAAATGTGGAGCGTTGGAAACAGCTGAAAATTATCTTATTTGGTATAAACTTAGGGCCAGCTTGAAAAAAGCTGGAGAAGATGCTGTGAAGTGATTGGTGAATTAAGGAGATTAGTAAAAACTCGATCACTAAATGTGTATCTTTCATAAAATAGGCTTAGTTGTTTAATATTTGATTATAAAGAAATTTCACTAAATGTTTGCCAAACTGCATAACAAGTGGTGTATATGAGCCAGAAATAAGTGCTAAGAACCTCTGTTAAAAGGGGAAGTAGATGAACATTGCCAATGAAAAGATTTTAATGCTATTATCAGTTTGGATATTGAAATTAGCATATGTTCAGGTATAACAAAGTACTGTCCAATCATATGGTGAATATATATAGTAAGCCTGAAAATGTGCAGAATTTCCTGTTGGGACAGCTATGTGTTCTCCTCTGACACACTGATTCAGATTAAGTGCCTAATGTAAAGTTAGTATCCTACAGTATTCATTCAAATTATAATCAGTGAGCTTTATCCGTCTTCAAAAAGCCAATAAATGTCACCCTCAGTTTCTTATAATATCTAATACAATGTGAATACTCTGCAGATAATTATAAAAGTATTTAAGAAATAATGACCAAACATGTGCATGCATAAAACACTCACTAATTTTTAAAAATATTTTGATTTGCAGTTGTTTGAATCCATGGCACCAGCACCTATGGATCCAGTGGGCAGATTGTATTACTAAATTTCAAAGGATTCTTCTTTTGAGATTTATGCTGAAACCATTTTAAGGTATGGTTTCTTCCTAAGATATTACTTATCCCAATGAAAAGTAACTTATGTAGAGAACTTCATTAACCCAAAGTGTTTTGTGTGTTCCTAGGCTTTATCAGTACGGAGTGAAGGAGATATAGAAAATTTTTGTGAACTTTTTTATTGATCTGTTACTGTCCAATATATTTTCCACTTGAAAGAAAAAAAAGAAAACAAATGATTTTTCCTTACGTTTAATTTTCCTGTTCTATCTGTAGAGCCAATTGATATTCTCGTAATTTCCTTTAATCATAAAATGGAATCATGTATTTAGAAAAATTCAGTGTAGAACAAACATTAAGGATTTTATTTCTAAGTACATCAACTTAGATTGTGAAACTAAGACCCCAAAAGGTAGACTTGCCAAATTAACAATTAATAGTAAGTAAAATTAGATAATTAGTTTAAGAGTAGAACGTAATTTAAAAAACACAGTCTGACATAACCCTGTTTTAATTGAATTCCTAGGAAGGAAAATTACTGCTTTCTTAATATTCCAAGGACCTCTACAGAGAAGGGAGAAGGTTGCCCAGGATCACAGTTATTCAAGACAACCAGAATCCTCCCACTTGCTTTTTATTCTTTCATTTGAGTAAACAATCACAACACAAATTAAGGCAGCTACCCGATGTATTTTTATACAAAGTTGGAGTTCTCATGTCTACTCTCACAATATGTATACTTCCAGGAGCACCTGTTGTAAAAACAAGTCTTTTAACGTGATCCTCACAGAAAGTTGCACTGCAGATAAGCAGGGATATTTCTTTACTTCTATTTTTCCAGAAGAAGAAAATTCACCAATATTCTGCTAGCTTAGGCTTTCTATAGTATGAACTACAATTCATACGCAGAATGAGTATAGCCACTCTCCTGTGTATTTCTGTGTGTATGAACTTGCCTGAGATCTTATGCACTGTTATCTAATGATACACAGAACCCAGAAATAATCACTTTCCACTTACGCAAAGTCAAGTTCAACCACCAAAGCTACATACCATATGGTAACAGGAATGATCTTTAAATAGAATTGAAAACAGGTGAAGAATTAGTAAGTGAGAACTGAATGCCATCTGGGGAGGGTGAGGGACTTAGTTTTCACCCACAAATCACATGTTTCTAGTGTTCAGTATTTTAAATGGTCTCAGAAGAAGCCTATGGTGCTTCAGAAATACGGATTGAGAGCGTGTACTGGGCTTCCAGGTAAGGAAGACAAATGAGCCCTCAGCAAAGAGTAGGCTTACCCTGCAAGGGCAGACTAGTAGCTGTATCCTGGATGTTCACCAAAGCAGGGCTCTACCCTGCAGAAAGCTGGGTCTTGCATACATCTGAAAGTTTAGTCTGCTTTCTCTGCATTCCTGCTGAGCTAATATGCAGTGAACCTTTATTAGTTGTTACTAAAGAGAGTCTTGACTTTCCTCCCTCAAAAGTTTTACAGTTATAAACAATTCTGTATGCCTGGAGCAAACAGTCACAGATCCATATATTTTGCTAAAAAATACCACAGATTCTCTCTAAAACTAAACAGTGGCCAATGTGCTCTTAAATTAAATTTCATCAAAACTATTTGCAGTATCATCACATCTTACTTGAGATACTAAATAGGGTATTAGCAACTATTCATTTTATTTTTATACAGAATTTTAGGTTATTTCTTTATTGGTTTGAGATCATATTTTTTACATGTTGTATAAGTACCTAATCTATACTGTACCAGTTTAAAACAGGAATAAGGTGTAATACGTGTTGTTTTATCTTGCCTTGGTGTTAGGATTTAGATGTTGAATCTCACCCAAAGATTCCTATATTTACAGATGGGAACTTTGAAAGGTGATGAACTCATGGAGGTGCTACAGTCATTAGCAGGTTAATCCAGTGATAAATTCAGGGCAGAATGTGCTATTAGCAGGTGGGATCCATTTGAAAAACGTAGGTCATTGGGAACACAACTTGGAAGGGTGCATTCTTACCCCATTTTTCTCTCTGCCATGGGACAGAGATCTACTCCTTCTTTCTGAAATACAAATCTTTTCCCCAAGGCATTGTGACTTTTCTTTTGGTTTTTACTGGGAATCACACCTAAGTGTCTGCTTTGAGTCTCAGAAGAGACTTGGTCAGCAATGCAGGAGCTGTGAAAACTTTGTCACTTTCAGAGATTGACTAAATGACCTTGAAATGAAGAGATAGATCTTTCTGGGATCCAGGAGTGGCTGCTGTGGTTCAGATCTAAAATGTCTCCACAAGGGCTCATATGTTTAGAAATAGAAGTTTTGGGAATGATAGGATTGTAAGGTTGCCGTGCTCATCCTGAGTTAAGCACTGAATGTGCTGCAAGTGACTGGTCTTGCCGGAAGAGGCAACTCACACTGATGTGACTTGGAAGTGTGTACTCCTGTTCCTAGCTGCTCCCTTCCCTCTCTGCTTCCTGACTACCAGGATGTGAGAGTCTTTTCTGGGTGGGGCCCTCCCATCATGCCATTCTTCCCTGGCTCCACTACAATTGGCTGAAACCAAGACCCAAAATAAACCTCTGGTCTTATAAATTGTAAGTCAGGTATTTTGTCCCTGAGAGGAGAAAGTGTCTAAGACACTTGGTAGCCACTTACAGCATGAGAAATGACATTGCTACCCCTTCTGTTACATTAATTTTCTATTAATATATAGCAGATTACCACAAAGTTAATGGCTTACAACAGCCTGCAATATTAACTCGTAAATCCAGAGTCCTACAATGGCTTAACTGGGTCTGAGGCACAGTATATCTCAAAGCTGCAATGAAGTGTTCCTTTTAAGCTCATGTGGCGTTGGGAAAATTCAGATTTTTTCAGTTTGAAAGCCAATTTCCCCATTTCTTTGCCAACAAGAGTTATTAATAAAATGAAGATGTTTGTTAGTGGCACACAAATTTGAAGGAAATGCTTCCTAAAGGTAAAGAATATAGAAGGTGTAGTTGGATATGAGAATTAAGTGTATTTAAAATATCGTGACATTGTTAAGAACCATACTTTACTTCACAAGAGAACAATTGAGTTCTGAAAGTTTGGAAGGAAACTGGAATGCAGACCATGTACTTTCAACACCTACACTGTTTCCCTGCAAACGCTCCCTTGCAGGGAATTTTAGTCCAAAGCTTTCATTTAACAAAGAAAAGAGCTGAGAAAATTTTAGGCCAAGCATCCAGGTAGTAAAATACTTGGGACCTGAAGTACTGGTAACTTCTCACAGCCATCTAAGGGTTTTACTGTGAGTTAGACTGCAAACTCCAATCTGCATGACAATCTTGTACCTCTAATTCATGATGAATCATGGTTAGATAACATCTACTGAAAAATAAGTGAGCTTCTCATGCTGCATTCTCCTTCTTGCTCAAATATGAGAACTGTATTAGTAATGTTGGATTGAATGTCATCTTTAATCTTATATACTTTCTACATTTGTTTGCTTTCCTATAAAACATGCAAAATGTAAAATTTATGTATTTTTCAGGCCCCCCCAAATCTTTTATTTCTGCCTTAACATATGAATAATTGGGTAGAAAACATTTGTTCCAAGAGCTTTGAAAACATTACTGCAATATATTTTAGTGTCAGTTACTACTGAAGAGAAATTTGATGACCACATGTTTTAAAGTAAGAATTAATTGAAGGACTTAAACCAAGTCTGTGGGATAAAATCAAAGAGGTTTTATTGTAGAGTTGCAATAGTATCATTTGTTGCCACAAATGTAAATTTAATCTGTTTATTGAAAAAAAGAACTTGTGATTATCTGGGTGGAGTTTAGCATGCTATTTAGACTTCCTTGTTTCTAGGAAGGATATTACAGACTGTTCTGAATTTAGAGTCCCGTCCAGTTGAAGGGGAGTCAATTCACACACTCCACGCAAACTTGTTAGAGTTGTCTTGGGCTGTAGACTTCTCTGCTCCCAAAATTCTTCCACTTCTTTTTTTTAGTTTCTGTCCTCCAACATTTGTAATGATTCTTACTCTGTTGATTACTCATTCACGTGGTGAGTTCAGCTTCGGGTCTCCTTCTTCTATCCACTCATGCCAGTATGTGCGACAGACAGAGGGGTAGTGTCAAATGTTTCTCCAGTTTGCCACCCTGATGACAGTCACCTCAACCCATTTAAGCAAAACTTCATGATTCAAGTTCCAAGAGAAGGAGTGAAACGATGTATAGAAACACAGTAGGCTCTTTATTCTAGGGCTTTGCACTTTCCTTTATGATTTCTAATGGAGAAGTAAAAATCTAAATGGAAACAAAGTCCTAGTGTGTCCAGAACTGGGGAATTACAATCCAAAGGAAACGTTCAGTGTTATTACAAATGAATTACGGTAACCCTGAGAACATATCCTAAGTGAAATGAGCCAGACTTAGCAGATTAAATATTGCATGTTTTCTCATATACAAGACATTCAAGTGTAAATCCTTTGAAGAGCAAAATAAAAGATAGAAGACAGGAAACAGGGTGGTAAGTTTTGTGAAGCTGAGAAATACTGAGGAGGGCAGATGAGGAGGAGAAGGAGGAGGAAAGCAAAAAGAACTAAAATGCTGTATATGAATGTATTCACTGCATATCATAAAATTACAGTGTTAAAAATGAGTGACGATGTTATATGGAGCAAATCTTCCATACTTTGTCTTAGCCTGTTATTGTTACTGTTATGAAATGCCCAAGATGGAGTAACTTATAAAATACAGAATTTATTTCTCACAGCTCTGGAAGCTGGGAAGCAGGAGCATCTGGTGTCTTCTTTCTGATCCTTTCATGGTAGTATGCAGAAAGGCCAAAAAAGTAAAAAATAAAAACACTGCATTCCCTAAACTCCTAGTCCTGCTCACAGAAAGGGGATTTTATTAATCACCTGTTAAAGGCCTCAATTCTTGTTGCTGTTATTTATGTTATTATGTTTCAGTGCCAAGATTTTGGATGGCACACACTCAGGTCACAGCACTCTGTGGTTCCGTTTTTATATGTTCA